CTGGATCTGGCCGGTAGTGCATCAATATAGCCTTTTTTTGCTAGATCCACAGTGGATCTGACAGAAAAAAGGCTAGATCTACAGTCAAAGATCTGGTCGTTGATGGTTAGATCTTTGGCTGTAGCTAGTCATCAATGACCAGATCTAGCTGTCAAGGGCCAGATCTAACCGTAGATTTAGTTAGTAGATCTGGCTAAAAAAGACCGTCTCGGCGCATGACTGGCTAGATCCAGTTGGTCGTGTGCCGATATGGTGACTCCGGCTACCCTATAATGGTGGTGGTCAACTGTTGGTATTTAATGGGTGAGTGGGGGTGTATATATAATTTTGAATACTTTTATTATAGGGGTGTCTAGAAAATTAATAAACCTAGGGGGTGTTTTTATTAATTTTTAAATTCTACCTCGTTATTACCACCCAACTCTTACTTTTTTCAAAAAATACTAAAACAAACGCACCCCAAACTGTTTTATTTTATTTTTAGATTAAATATAATACTCTTTATTATTAATGCACGTCTCCATTGTTAATGCAGATGTAAACTGTGAAAGTGAAAATTTTGTTTAGTTGTGTGGGGTCAATCCAGTTCCGTATCGTCAGTTGGTTTCTTCATTGATGTTAAGTAATGTCGATTAATACTGTATGCTATTTCAATTTTGTGTTAGATATTACATATGAAAATGCACCTATTTCAATTTTTTTTTTTTTTTTTAAATGAGCAAGGGTATCCAGACTAGTTTACTCATTAGCTGGATACGAACTTCAGTGGTTACCCTTTATTAGCAGTCGTGAAAACTCGAACTCAAGAGATATATAAACTTAGATTCTCCTTTACCGTTTTATCATCAAACCACCCAATGGTGGTTACCTATTTAAATTTTGTATCCCCTGTTATAAAACAATAAAAAAATATCGATTCATTGAGCAAAAGGAGAGAGAGGATTCGAACCCTCATAGTTCTTTGTTCCCAACTATACTGGTTTTCAAGACCAGAGCTATCAACCACTCGACCATCTCTCTAAAAGACAATTTTTATTTCACTTTTACTAAACAGAACACGGCCATATTAATTGATACCATCACTAAAAGTAGAAAAAGATATTGTAGACATAAAAATCTACCTGTACGGAAAGGGGGGTCTGATCTCGTGAGGTTGAGGCCACTAACGATCTGCTATACCTGCACACGTAGAGAAACACACGCGTGAAGCGAACGGGAAACACCAGGGTGGTGTTTGCCGTAGGCACTCCGACGCTCAAGTCAGCAAGGCTGAAAGGCTAATATAGTGAGGGCTAGGGAATGAGAGATTACCGGAAGTCTAGTCGGGGACTGTGACTACGGCGAATAAGCGAAACTCTCAAGTAAAGAGTCTAGGGTGTGAAGGTGTAATGTCGATGTCCTTTGTGAGAGGGCTGGCCTCTGCTTATATAGTGGTCGTTTGGTCTCCCAATCCTGGTGGGAGCAAGAGTCCTAGTATGACTCTGATGCCAACCCTAGAAGAATCAGGGCCGTAATCAGCTGTCTTATCATTGTCTGAATAGGAAGTTAACTCTGATTTAGGAGAATAACTCCCAAGTGGGAAAGTCACCAGGAAAGGGGAAGGCGACCTTGAGTAGGGGATTGATCAAGAATGGGAAAATATTGAAGGGGCTATGGGCTCTGGACTTACCCATAGGCCCAGGAATTGGACAGGGCTTAAGAGGCTCGCGCCCATGTAGTTTGGGCCGGCTATACCTCGTATCAAATAGGGCTAACCCGAATTGGGCCTCTGTAAGACTAGGCCTGATCATTCTTCACTAGTGATCCTGTTTCCCTATTTGGGCCAAGGACGATTTTTGGCCCTATCAGTTTGTCCCCCACTCTCTGAGTTGAGAGTAACTCAAGTCAGAGAGTAGGTTACGCTCAAGGCAAGCTCGGTCTTCCCTCATGGATGAACGATCATTGAAGTGATCGCTCTGACAATTGTAGGAGATCCTTGATTGGACCTCGTTCGGTATCCACTCCCGACCCAAAGTATTCTATCGTTGTGAGGTGCCTGATTGGTTCGGCGAGCTGAAGAGTAGAGAGCCAGATGTGATCGGTCGGTACATCCGTACGACTAACAGGGGACCGTTAAGAGGCACTCATTCGTCATGTCGGGTCGGACAGGTTCAGGAAGTTTACTAAAAAGCTTCATTCGGTCGGGATGCTGGGACGACTAAGTGGGTGAGGCATCTCGGTTACATGTTGTCCACTCGTTCTCCACGGACGGATGATTGGGCGAGATTCTCAATTTTGTTCTGAAGATGGCTCGACTCGGACCATTCCCAACTCATGCATCGGTCGACCAGGCCTTCCGGGCCGGCTGAGCATGGGATGCTTGGGAGGGCTCCCGAACTGAAGAGTCGGTCGGGTGGATCGAGTGGCCAAGTGAATTTGTTGGCGCGTGTAAGATTGGACGCATGTCGGATTCATTCCGAGCGGTACAAACTGAGTCAGTCGGAAGGAACGGGCGATCGAGACGCAGCTTCCGTACGGAACAACAGTTTCCCAGGTGATTCGGATCACTGCCACGTGTATGGTGGCGATCGGTCCGTCGTTTCGAGAGCGGGAAAACGAAGAGACTCTTGACAACTGACCAATCACAGCCTGCCACGTGTTTACATTTTCTTTACAAAATTGGGGAGAAGACTGTTCATCTTCCATTCGCGTTGGTTTTCTATTTTCATCCGAAAAATTTCTCCCCCTTTTTTCTTCGTTTTTGTCTCAGTTTCTTGAGCGAAGGTGGTCTTTTCTACAATCATCCAAGGTAATTTTTTCTTTTTAGGCCGTTTTGCTGTTTTGTAGGTAGATTTCTTTTTTGTTGAAATTTCTGGGAAGTAGGATAAAGGTGTTTTGAACTTTTGAGCAGGTTTAAACTAGGTTTCCAAGTGTTTTGGTGTTAGGATTTTGGAGAATAGGCGTAGGTTTGAATTTTCCGGTGGATATCCGGGAAGAATCCGACAGTTTTGAATATTTTCTGGGTTTTTTAGATTGGGCCTGGAAGACGAAGTCGACTTAGGCGTTGTTTGGGTCGGTCGATACGTCTGACCGAGTGGTGAGGAGGCGTGTGGCATGGATTAGGCGATCGGTCATCCAGGGCGAGTGTGAGTCTTTAGGTTTTGAGGGATTGGTGATCGGGGTGAGTAGGTAACTAGGGTTGAAATTGGAGGTGGATCGATCGTCTAGGGCGAGCGAGTTGGTGCTCTGCTGATTTTGGCTTAGGGTCGTTAGGTTGGAGGGGTCGACCCAGGGCAGGGGCTCTCGTTGTCGGGCAGGTCGACTAGTAGTGAGCTTTTTCTTTCGGTCGGTCGGTCGGATAGGCGGGACGACTGGCTATCTTGGAATCCACCTCTCGGTAGAACGGGTCGACTGAGACTGAAGAGGCCGGTTTTGAGGGACATCATGCGGTGTTGAAGGGCGACCAGTAGCTAGGTTGATACTCATAAGGAACGAGTCGGTCGGTTGGGACGGGTAAGTGATCTGATGTCAGACGATACGTCAGCAGGTTCGAGTCAAGATGTGGTTGATGTCGGGGACGAGTATGAGCATGCCCCGACTATCGTGATGATGTCTGAAGGTAGCGTCCCAGTTGGCGTACCGACTGGAGTTAGTGTAGTCGCTCCAAGGTCGAGTAGAGCTGGACCGAGTGGCTCGGGTCGGTATGGTAGGAGTGGGGAAGACTCCAGAGGGGCTGGCAGTCCCTCTTCATCCGGTAGTAGCTTTGAGGAAGAGCCGAGCCAGCAGGGCAGTGGGATTCTGACCAGGGATTATCCACCCGTGCTGAAGGATAGTGACGTGTGGCGTATCCGTACATTGTATCATATCCCTGGTTCTGTCAAAGTTTGGACCCCGCGGTCGTACGAGCGGGTTGACTGGGAAGCTGAAGGTTGGGTCTGTGTGTACGAGAAATGGTTTCACGATGGGTTGAGGTTGCTTGTGCCTCGCCTCGTCTGGGAGGTGCTGAATCACTTCATTATCGCTCCTTCCCAACTTATGTCGAACGCTTGGAGATTGCTGATGGCCCTGGAGGATCTGTGTGTTCGACACCAAATTGTGTTCGGGTTGCACGAGCTGCTGTACTCGTACTTCCTGAAGGAGAATGATAAGGAGAAGGGCCGATATCTGCTAAACTTGAGGCACGATCGGTCTCATCTGGTTACCGACCTGCGGTCCAGTGATAAAAACTGGAAAGACCGTTACTTTTTCTTGAAGGGTCAGGCCGTTTTCGGAGACAGGGGCACGGGCGAGATCCCGATCGGCTGGCGAGCCACTGGTGAGAACTTCGTCGTTTCTTTCGTACTTTTGTTGACCAGACGTTGGTAGGTGGCTCCAGCGTTCTTCAATCCAAACGGCATCACTTTGTAATAGTAGGTTCCCCTCTCTGTGATGAAGGCTGTCTTCTCCTGGTCGTCCGCATGTATCAAAATCTGGTTGTATCCCTAGAAAGCGTCCATGAAACTGAGGAGTTCGTGCCCTGCGGTCGCGTCTACCATCATGTTGATATGTGGAAGGGGGAAAGAATCCTTGGGGCAGGCTTTGTTCAAGTCAGTGAAGTCGATGCAGACTCTCCACTTCCCGTTCTTTTTCTTTACAACTACAACGTTTGCCAGCCATTCGGGGTAGTGGACCTCTCTGATCATGCCGTTGTTTAGGAGCTTTTCAATCTCTTCATTGACGATCTGGTTTCGCTCAGGTGCGAATTTCCTCCTCTTTTGCTTGACTGATGGGTGATTCGGATCTGCCTTGAGCTGGTGGACCATTGCGTCTGGATTGATTTCGGTCATGTCGGCATGGGACCAGGCGAAGCAGTCTTCGTTTCGTTTGAGAAATTCTATCAGCTTCTCTCTTGTCTCGGGGTCGAGGCGGGAGCCTATGTGTGTCTTTCTCTCCGGTTCATCCGGATGTATCTGCACTTCATCCAACTCCTCAATGGTTGGTTGGTCAGGCTTTGTTCGAGGGGTTAGATGAGACTGTAATTACTATAAAGAATTTCCCTTGCCTTTGAAGGCGTTTTTGTAGTAGTCCCTGGAAGCTTTAGGGTCACCCTTGATCTCCCGTACTCTCCACTTGGTTGGAAACCTGATTGTCTGGTAGAAAGTAGATGGGACTGCCCGCATGTCGTGGATCCAGGGGCGGCCCAAAATGACGTTGTAGGGGGATGGGCAGTCGATCACCAGGAAGACTGTCTGTTTGTTTACTCCGCCCGCATAGATAGGAAGGATGATCTCCCCGATAGTGTATTTCTGCTCCGAGCTAAATCCAACTAGCAGTGTCGGTCGCCTGTTGATATTTGCTTCTTCCAGCCCCATTGCTTTGACTGCTTCAAGGAATAGGATATTTGCTGATGAACCTCCATCTACGAACACTCTCTTCACTAGGATGTTGGCTATTTGCAGGGAGAGGACTAAAGCATCGTGGTGAGGAACGGCTAGGGTGATCGGTTCGTCATCCTCGAACTGAATTACTTGATGGGAGTATGACCTCGAGACCGGGTGGATGGACTGGACTTCATGATGGTTAGTCCTAGCATGCCGCTTCGCTGATGAGTAAGTTACCCCACTGATTTCTGATCCTCCTGAGATTAGCGAGCAGAAACCCTTCGGTGTGGGTTCTCGCGGAGGGGGCGACTGTTGTTTGGAGCTTTTCTGGCTAATTGTGTTCTTCCCCTTGTCAGTGAGTAGATCATAGAGATGTCCCCTCTTCAGAAGTGCGGCAACCTCGAGCCGCAAGGCGATACAGTCTGCGGTGTTATGCCCGTGATCGTTGTGGAACTCGCACCACTTGGTTGTGTCTCTCCTTGCCTCGGGATTGAGCTTACCAGGCCACTTGACTGCGGATCCCATTCCTTTCATTATTGCTGCGACCTGGGTTGGTTCGACGGTGAGACTGTACTCTGGTATTTTGAACTGGTTCGATCCGAAATGCCTGTTATCATTTCTCAAGGGTTGGCGATCATATGGTCTTTTGGTTCTGCCCATATTGAGTGCGGGGGGTTGGTAGCAGTGTTCTACCGGTCTAGGCTCTGGCTTCCTGTCGTTCCGCCTTGGTTCGTATCTGGAATGGGCAGCTCGGTTCATCTCATCTTCCTCCCACCTTATCTGGATAACGGCTCGGGCTAGAGCATCTTCCATGGTGGTGCAGCCCAGCTTTGTAAGCTCTTTGTATAGTTCTCCATCTGGTAGGAGGCCTTTTCTGAAAGCGTCTATAGCAGTCTCGGGGTTACAGGAGGGAATAGAGATCTTCTCTTTGTTGAATCTGCTAACATACTGTCTTAATGGTTCCCCCCTTCGTTGGTATACTCGGTACAAGTCGGCCGACAACTTCTCTAGCTTCTTGTTGCTAGCGAACTGTTCCACAAAGGTGTCAGTAAGCTGAGCGAATGAATCGATGGATCCGTTCGGGAGGTTCGTGTACCATTGGAACGCCGGGCCGGACAAACTAGAACCGAAATTTTTGCACATGCAGGCTTCTCTAAGCAGTCGGGGTATGGAAACAGTGAACATCCGCTGCTTGTATGAGGCTATGTGGCCGTCCGGGTCAGTGGTACCGTCATATGGTTTCATGTTGGGGATAGTGAATTTCTAGGGCATGTCAGCCAGGGCGATCTCATCCGCAAAGGGTGAATCGGCATAGCAATTCGGTCTACTCTTCTTGGTTGGGATTGGCATTCCTGGGATGCGCCTCATTACTGCCTCAACGTTGGCCAGTCTTTTGGCCAATAACTATTCCACAGGGGAAGGGGATACTATCGGGTCATCCCGTCTTACTGGGTCTGGTACGTTCCGTGGGGTCATCCCTCGGGGGGTAGTCTGATAGATCAGTCCGTCGTGCGCTCCTTGGTAGCATGTGTCTTCGTTCATCCCTTCTGGTTGGATGACTCCCATTGTCACTGTTCTGTTGTTCTTCCCTACATGAACGGTCAGGGGAGTTGTCTGGTAGTCGTTCGGTCTTTCGGGATGGACGGGCTCAATAGCTGGAGTTGGTTTGGTTTGGCCGTTCAACCCGCGAGGGTGAGCCGGGCCGGATGGGGTTTGTGTTTGGGTTGACTGGAGGTGAAGTGGTATGGTGGGGATGGGTTGATCCTTCGGGTTCTCTATTACTGGATCATTTTGATCATGAGGCTGGGATGGGTCGACTGGACCGCGCACTGTTGTATCTTTATCTCCGTTAGTCAGAATGGAGTAGTCGAGCGCCAGTGCATTAAGCTGACGCGGCCCTTTACCAGAATCCGAGGGTCGATGCTCTGGTGTGGAGAGGGGTTGCATGGATGGGATAGTGATGCGGAACCGATTGGGGGGTGCTTGGTCGGGCAGAAACTCGAGTTCATAGAATCGGCTTACTTTCTCTTTTAGCGACTGGTTCTCGACCCTGATGGATGTGTTTTTGGCTTCCAGTGCGGCCACCTTGTCCAAGTTTTATTGCATGAGAGCGGTCAAAGCCTCCAAACCTCGAGGCCTGAGTTAACATCGTCTGGATTGTCAGCCATGGAATATTCCTCCACGTAGCAAGGTTCATCATGCCGAATGATAGCTAGAGGCCCCACGATGGGCGCCAAACTGTAGATGTAAAAATCTACCTGTATGGAAAAGGGGGTCTGATCCCGTGAGGTTGAGGCCACTAGCGATCTGCTGTACCTGCACATGTAGAGAAACACACGCGTGAAGCAAACGGGAAACACCAGGGTGGTGTTTGCTGTAGGCACTCCGACGCTCAAGTCAGCAAGGCTGAAAGGCTAATATGGTGAGGGCTAGGGAAGGAGAGATTATCGGAAGTTTAGTCGGGGACTGTGACTACGACGAATAAGCGAAACTCTCAAGTAAAGAGTCTAGGGTGTGAAGGTGTAATATCGATGTCCTTTGTGAGAGGGCTGGCCTCAGCTTATATAGTGGTCGTCTGGTCTCCCAATCCTGGTGGGAGCAGGAGTCCTAGTATGACTCTGATGCCAACCCTAGAAGAATCAGGGCCGTAATCAGCTGTCTTATCAGTGTCCGAATAGGAAGTTAACTCTGATTTAGGAGAATAACTCCCAAGTGGGAAAGTCACCAGGAAAGGGGAAGGCGACCTTGAATAGGGGATTGATCAAGAATGGGAAAATATTGAAGGGGCTATGGGCTCTACAGTTACCCATAGGCCTAGGAATTGGACAGGGCTTAAGAGGCTCGCGCCCATGTAGTTTGGGCCGGCTATACCTCGTATCAAATAGGGCTAACCCGAATTGGGCCTCTGCAAGACTGGGCCTGGTCATTCTTCACTAGTGATCCTGTTTCCCCATTTGGGCCAATGACGATTTTTGGCCCTAACAGATATTGGGTGTGAATCTATAGGTATATAAAATCGCACCTTTTCATTATGTTGTCTACAGTTTTTTATTATTATTATTATTATTTAAAAGTTTTATTCCAAATTGTGAAACCAAAATTCCAAATGTTTTAGAATGAAATGATTACACCCTTATAATTGAATGATATTTGTCAAAAATAACAATAATAAGAGTAAAATATGCAATACAATAAAAAACAAGTTTTTTGTATTTCCCAAACATCTTATTGAATTGTTAAAGTTTAAGGCTTCGTTTGGTTCACATATTGGGAAAACTTTTCTAGTTTTTCCAAAAAAATTAAGTTTGTTTCACCTATTTTCCAAAATATAATTCTAAATTTTTTAATTTCCTTTAAACCCCCTAAATTTGTTAATTTAACTAAACAACCCCTAAATTTTTTTTAAAAATTGACAAGAACACCCCAGCAACCCAAATTTACCAGATTCTGGCCACCACTACCGGAAGCTGGCCGGAATTTGGTGTAATGACGCACTACCGGCTGAATCTACCCGGTAGTGCACCGATCTAGCATTTTCTGGTCAGATCCATAGTGGATCTGGTCGTCAACGACCAAATCTTTAGCTGTCGACAGTCATCAACGACGGCCGTATCTTTGGCTGCTATTGATGACCAAATGCGGCCAGATCTGCTCGTCAATGGCCATATCGTCGCACAATCGGCAATATCGAGCCGCTCATATGCCGATACGGAAACTCTGACACCCTCCGATGGTGATGACCAGCTATCCGTATTTATGAGTGAAGTTGGAATGTTCTTGTTAACTTTGAATATTTTATTATAGGGGTGTTTAGTAAATAAATAAATATAGAGGGTATTTATGTTAATTTTTAAAATTCTACATCGTAATACCCACTCAATTTATTTTTTTTCAAAAGATTATTCTAAAATCTACCTAATAATAAACTAAACGGAGCCTAATATTTTTTACGAGGGTGGCTAGTTAAGGAGGTATATATACACGTGTTGATTGTTTTCTCCTATTCAAGCACTTGTCGTCTTCACTTTTCTTTTTCTTTATTTTTTTAAGTTGTACGGGATTTTGACTCTAATAATTACACTTTCTCAAATTATGTATGTTTTTATTAAAAATATAACTATAAAATCTGATGATTTACTAATTATATTTTTAATAAAACAGCAAATCTTATATTACTAATATATATTATTAGACTATATTAGGTTTTATAGTCTAGATTAAGTCTAATATTTGACAGTCTAATTAAAACATGTTAAATCATGCAAAAAGATGCTAGACTTGATAGTCTAGTGCATTTAACTATTTTTATTATTTAATTTTTTATTAAAGGTAATTAGATTAAATCATATGATTTTATTATTAAATCTGCCATTTAAACAAACTTTTTACATTTTAGGAAGTAAAATTAACAAAATTGCTTATATATGGAAATATTTCTATTTCGATTGACCTTTTAGCGGTTGAAGCAATTTCAACACACGAGGCCAACTAAAACAAAGTGTTCTAATAAAATAATGGGTATTTTGTTTAATAAAATATATAAAATGTAAAAAAAGAAAAAAAAATCATTTTGTTTATCTATTTATAAAACTTTTCTAACTAATCATTTATTTTATTGGTCATGAAAATACCAATGATTGAATTCATATTTGCAACTTTGTGATAATAAATTGAGTGAATGACAATTTTCCACCCAAGGTTTGCCGTAATTATATTTCCCCGAACGACTTACATCTATCCAAAGTTTGGCGAAACGACAGATTGGTATCCAAAAGGTTTGAAAATGACAAACAGATATCTTCCGTCATGTGCTGTTAGTGAAAAGACTAGAATGCCCTTTGAGAAATATTAGTCTATTTTTTTAATTACTTTTAGACCCCTTAAGTTTATTAATTCCATCAAATACCCTTAGAAAAAAGTTTAAAAATTAACAAAAATACCCTCACCCGCCCATACTTGCCAGATTTCGGCGGCCACTGTCGGTGGTAGCAAGAATCTGTCACAACGGTCTACGCCACAACTGGTAATTCACCAATCTAGCATGTTCCGACCAGATCCACAATGTATTTGACCGAAAAAGGCCAGATCTGACGTGAAAAGGCCAGATCTGGTCGGAAAGTGAAGGCCAAAGATGGAGTGTTGCGGCCGTCAACTGCCAAATCTGGCATTTTTTGACCATATTCGTGGTAGATCTGGCCGGAAAATGCCATATTAACGCTCTACTTGCTAGATCCGACAAATATGTGGTGTAACGCAATTTTCTGGCCAAATTCCAATGGTGGTGGCCGGAATCTGGCACTGCGGCTAGTGGGGGTGTTTTTGTCATTTTACAAAATTTTTATATATTGGGGTATTTAGTTAAATTAGCAAACATATGGGTTTTTTTTTTTTTTATCAATTTTTAAAAAACTAAAATATCAAACTTTCAAGGGCATTCTAGTCTTTTCACTAATAGCACATGATGGAAGGTACCTGTTTGTCGTTTTGAAACCTTTTGGGTACCAATGCGTTTCACCAAACCCTGGGTAGGTGTAATTGGTTTCCCCAATTATATTTTCTCATTCATAAACCGTCATGGAATCTGTTACCTGATAAGGGTAAAGCTACGAAATATTATAATACCCTTTACTTTTGGCTTTGTAATTTTTAAAAGGCTAAATGACATTTTCCCACCTAAACTTTGTTAAATATACTTTACAACTAGTTTGGTTTATATTAATTTTAGGGTTAATAAAATTTAAAAATAAAATCTGTCAGAATCACACCAGCTAGTGCGAATCAGTCAGAATCGCTGGGTGTGATTCCAACCAACTTTATTTTTCAGTTATTAATTTTTTTTTCGAATTTTTTTTTGCAAATTTTTTTTTTCGGGGAAATTATATTTTTGTAATTTCATAAAATTATACAAATTTAATGAAATATTGTTTTATAGTTTTATAATATTTAATTGATAAATATTATAATGTTTTTAAAAATACTATTTTAAATTTTAAATATTTTTAGAAACATGCATACTTTAAAAGTGAAACCTCCATTATAATTATAGAAATTGAATATAGGGATTTAAATGGCTGATTTCAAAGTTAGTAGAGGTAATTTTATGTGTTTATAACTTAACAGTGAACATTACATATAATAAATTTGTACGAACTGAAAAAAATTGCCTTTTTACTATTAAAAGATAAAACTAACGTCTGAATTTAACAAGGTTGGGAAAAAAATATAATGTCTGAATTCAATGATGG